TCTGATTCTTGCATTAATATGAATTTCAATACATCCTTTTGAGTGAAAAAGCCAGAGGTGAATGAGCACATACTGTGTGACAGCATTTATGTAAAGTTCTAGAGCAGGCAAACACAAATTACAGTGACAGGGATGAGAACAGTGGGTGGAAGGGATTGGGGAATAAGGAGATGGAAAGGGGTACAAACAGGTGACAGTTATGCAGTTGTAAAGCATTTGTTAAAACTCAAGTATGCTTAAAATCTGTGTATTTATTGTTATGTAAAGTACAATCCAATTTAAAAAGTTACATAAACATCCACTAAGTGACAAGAATTTATTACCTGTGTCTGGACTCTTGGGACAGAGAGAATGTTCATTTAAGTCTCAAAGAAAGATTCTCATAAGAAATTAAAAAATTGTTAGATAACAATTCTAAGTGTAGATTTCTTAAGCCTGCAAAGCACGCCCCTCCCCACCCCATATAGGTCAACCATTAAAAAAAAATGCTCTCAATGAAAATATTCACTGAAACAGATAACAAAATATTTATTTTATTGTTATAAAATAAAAAATGGTAGACAAGCATAAGTAGTTACAGTTCCAAAGTAGAGCAATACAAAAATGTAAATTATTGCAGTTTTAAAAGAAAAGTGTAACAGCCAAGTATTGTCTAAACTTTTTTAAAACCAAGTTGGTTCTCACCATTGCAGTTGCATTTTCTTTTTCCAAATGTCTTAGCACAATGTTGTGAAATAAATTTCTAACACCACAGAGATTAAGTTCAATGACCATAGTGTAAGCTACTCAGACTTAAAGCAAGGTTAACACACACAACATATTGTAAAAGTGGGAATGGCTTTAAAACAGAAGTTGTTACTGAACATTTCCTAAACTGCCTCTTTTCAAGGTAGTAGAATGGAAATAAGCATTCTACATGTTTGAAAGAAATAAGAAACACATATTTACTAAAATTCCCTTTGCCTTGTGTGTAGGCGAGGGAAGTTCAACTAACACTTTTTGGGGGTAAGAGGGTGGACGACACTCATTTCCATGATTTTGTTTCACTCGAGTATGGCTAAGTGCAGTCATAATCTGGACTCATAAACTAAAAAGAATAGAAAAAGTATGTTACAAACTAGATGCTAAAAAAAAAAAATCTTAATGCTAGAGACTTGTGGTGATGTGATTCTCAGCAACACGACCAAATTGCTTAATACATTGGACTACTTTATGGCAAGGACAATTAGGAAAGGACAAAGGGAATGAAAATACTGAGACGCAAGACAAAACCTTGTTATTCCACACACAGTATTATATTCCTCCTCCAAGACACCTGCACTTGTGCCAGAGCCCTGTTACCTCAGTATTCAGGTAAGTCAGCCCTCTCTCATCCCATCACCCAAAGACTTAACTTGGCAAGAATAACCTGTGGAGTTTTGTCTCGTACTGTTTTTTTGCCACAAATTTTCTCAAATAATTATTCCCACCAACCTAAAGTGAAAAATGCAATTAAACACTGAAATGCAATCAATTATCTTTGTTTTACAGCCACATCTGAACAAAATATATTTAAAGAAATTGTTAAGAGTACTAAACTTCTTATTAAGTACTTGAAAATACTCAAATATCTTACCTTAGCATAACTGATAACATCTGTCAGTAAACTCACCGGCACAAATCAGAAAAATAACACTATAATAACTTTACACTATACCCTTTAAAAGTTTTCATGTCATGTAACCTAATTTTATGGTCACTAACCTGAACCTCCTATTAAGCTACACAAATAATTTATCCTTTAAAAGTTCCCAAAGTTTAGAGCACATACATTTTGTATTTCATTTTACAATAATGCAAGAAAATTTCTTTTAAAAAATCAAAAGAAAACCCAAAATGGCAAACATACACAAATAGATCCAAAAACAGACTCAAATGTAAACTCCAAAGTAAAGATACATAAACAAAGAAAGCAAGCACTTTAAACCATCTTCAGTGGTAAAGAATATAGTAAAATGAAAATCCCAAGGAAATCTCAAGATGCCAACAAAATAGAATATTATTTTGACTATATCTCTGAAACCACTTTCCAACATGAACTTATTTTAAAAATAATTCTCAAATATATATAAAAATGGGCACTTTGTGGTGAATTGAGCATATAATTTGAAAAAATAAGAGCATTTCTTTGCTCCAACATTATGCATAAGAAACTAAAAAATACTATTCTGCTGACGGCATCATCTATTACTGGGGTCTTAAGTACGTGACTTTTAAAAAATGTAAGACAAATTAGGATATTATATATACTAAGGCCAAAGGATGAGAAAAGCCTGAATGGATTTGAAAATTTCAATCAAGAGAATAATCTTGGATAGTCACAACCACTTTGACTTTAGACTGGTTTTTTAAAAACTGAATTAAACTTGTTTAATTATTACTTATAACATAAAAAAAAATTAGCCTTATTTCACTCCCCTTAACCATATAAGCTCTGAAATTAATAACAGATAACTTGCCTCTTTTGCCATTTTTTGAAACTGAAGGTATAGGTAAGATTTCCTCCTAAACTTCCTCAGAAAGTACCACCAACTGTACAGAAGAATAGCCAAGTATGGTAACCAATATTTGTGGAATTTCATAGTCTTTCAAGGTTAGTGTCCCTTAGCCTTGTTTTAAAATATATAGGAATTTCATATTCAACCAAGAAAACTAACATTAGAATATAAAATAAGTTTATCAAATATTTGGAAAAACTGCTGTGCAAAATAACAATTTTTTTTTTTTACTAGAATATTTTACCCAAATAAAGTACTAGTGTGAGTACCAGCACCACAGACATTTTTAAAGAGCACCTTTCCCTTGAAGACTTTAAGTAGAAATATCTAAGTGGGATAAATCAGAGTCCCTAATTAAGACCTTGGCACAGGCATCATCCCATCTAATTGTCCTAACTCATTAGTAAACCTGCACATTTGCCAGAAATGCTTTAAGAAGCAAGCACATACTTGCTTTGGATAGCACTGTTGTGTTCAGGGCCGCACCATATGGCTCCCATTCCGGAAATATGCAACTACCATCAAATGCAACACATCCCAGACTTTCATGGCTGTCCCAAAGTGATCTAAATAGAAGCACAAATGTATGCAAGCACACTGGCTGGTAACACCCATAATGAATTCTGCCAAAAGAGAGTCAAGTCAAATTTGAAAATGTGACCAAAACAACTAAGCACTGAGATACCTACTGGCATCATCCGGAAAAGGTTTTATTTAATATGTAAATTTATGGATTTTGATATTGCACGTATTCAATGTAAAGCTTATCAAACACTAAGGCAACGTGTCCCCACTCCTGGATTTTAAATTCATTTTGGATAACTCAAAGAATTGAGAGAAATTGAAAGCATCTTTCAAAAGCTCCCTCCAAAAAAGCAGTTATGTCATACTTCAAAGAAAACAAAACAAAAATGAATGAGATTAGCAAGCAATACTCTTGGGCAAATTTAACACATTCTAGCATTATAAAAAGTTGTTTCCACTAGTTTGAGGTGTTTCTTTGCTTTAGTCAAATAGCGTTTGTGTTCGACTAAAATCTGACCCAACTCGGGGCAGGCTGCCAAATTTAAGACAGAAGTCATTTATATCTTTGTATGCATGGCGCTACCAAATTATGGGCTTTCCTGTAGATTCTTTCTAGCAAAGGATCTTACCTTATAAACACATTCTAAACACCAGCTGAAAACGAACTTAGAGCCCATTTTAATTCTACATTGGTTGAGGATTTTACTATAATAAATTAAAAACGTATCTAGCTGTTTGAGACAAGCCATTAGTTCAGAGCTCTTTGGAAACATAGGCAACATATAAAATCCTTTCAAAAATGAGCTTTCTATCCCTGGCCGGGTAGCTCAGTTGTTTAGAGCATCATCCCAATACGCCAAGGTTGTGGGTTTGATCCCCAAGAATCAACCAATGAATGCATAAATAACTGGAAAAACAAATTGGTATTTCTGTTTCTCTGAAATGAAAAAAAAATGGGCTTCTTTTTTTAAAATTAGAGTTTTGTTTTTCTGGGTCAAGCAATCTTCTCTTTCCCTTTAGATTCCAAAGTTTAGAAAAATGCCCCAGAATGCTTTCTTTGGGCACTAATTTCAGTGATACAGAATTTGGACAGTTCAAGGATTCTTGAACTTTGATCTGAAGCAGCACACAAAATAATTTTAATTTTCTTCAAAGACAGGGCATTAATTTAACAGTACGAATATTCAATTCGAAGATAATCCATTTGACTTACAAGTGAGGCTTGACTTACTCTGTCCAAATTCTAACACATCAAAGTCAGTAGAATGAAAATAATGAAACAGAAGAGGCTCTAACTTCTATGTAGACTTGTTGACATACAAAAGCTAGATTAGCATTTTCTTCCTGAACAAACTCAGAACTGCTTTTGTTAGAAAAAATTATATATTTTATTTTCTTGGATATTTGCTTTAAAAAGGTATTAATTCCCCTTTATAAGAGTTATCAGAAGTCAAACAATTCAACTAGATAGATTTCTACTCCAAAATACATTTATCTTTGGAAAACAAGGTAACAGTTGTAAAAGCAGTATAGTAATAAAATGCAGTAAGATCTGAAACATGGGTAAGATATTCACACATGAAAGTGTAAATATAATACACAGAGCCATTCAAATACACATTTATAAAGAGAATGGAAAGGTACCTAAAATAGCATTTTTATATATAAAATTTTCATATTAAAATATTGCTCATAATAAATAAGAGGTGATATTATGAATTTAACTTCCCTCTTAAAATTTTTATCTTTAGTAGTTCAGACTAATCTAAGGTATTTATTAACCTTCTATTGTTTTGAGAGGTGAATTACATTAAACTATATTTCATAAAATCACACTGTAACAGTATATTTAAATAGTCACATGTGGTAAAAGTTAGGGAGGGCTACTTAGTAATTATGGGGAAAAAAATTCCCCAGATAAATAAACCAAAAGAACCCTAGAAGACTAGAGTGTGGCGATCCGCTTTTTCTAACAAACATGTTCAATACTGCCTTTAAGTTCTGCAAACTTAATGACCACATTGCAAGTGGCTGACCAGGAAGTGGCGGGGCACAGGAAGTGAGTGTAAGTTGAGTTCCGTTGCTCATGTCAGGTGGGACTTCATTCCCGTTCGCCCCACTTGCAGACATGGTAACTTGGAATAGTTCTTGAGAAGCTGTTCGATGGCGACGTGGCGGACATGGAGCTCTGAGGCCAGAGAATCTTTTTCTTGCACTTGGCGTGTTAACTCTTCAAAAACTTCTGTAAGGATTTAAAAAGAAGTTCCATTTGAGTACACAGAAAGCTAACCCTATGATTTATACTTCAAGTACTTTAACACGCATTGGGCGAATGTTTGCAATTAAAGTGATTTGATACCGCCCTGGCTGGGTGGCTCAGTTGGTTGGAGCATCAATCCGTACACCAAGGGTTGTGGGTTCAATTCCCAGTCAGGACACGTATCTAGGTTGCAGTTCGATCCCTGGTTGGGGCGCATATGGGAGGCAATCGATTGATGTTTCTCTCTCTCTCTTCCCCTCTTCCTTTCTCTCTAAAAATCAATAGACATAGGCTTGGGCGAGGATAAAGGAAGGGAAAAAAAGTGATTTGACACAAAGGAAACAATTGTTTGATCATTCTAGGGTGTTGCAAACTTTGCATAGTCAGCTGGAATAGGGTGTTCCTCTTCTCCACCAAGTGAAACCTCAGTGTCATAAGCAATGACTATATAGATGCGCAACAGGAATGGTAGTCACTATTACCTGAGACACGTTTCTCAATTTGAAAGAGAAACGGGTTCAGTCAGTATCTAACATGACTTATGGGAAATAAGTGCACATTAATGCCTAGGTCTGGAAACCCCTCTAAGAGGCTTTGGAATCAGACTGCCTGGGATATTTAATCCTTGTTCCTTCTCTCAAGAGTCTCAGGCAAGTAATTATAAACTATGTTTTCATTTCTCCTTATGTATCAACTCAATTAGAGTAGGACCTTCATAGGGTTACTGTGAGGATTCAATAGGTCATACTTGGAAAGCACTTACCACAGAAGAAGTACTTGACAAATGTATGTTGCTGTTGCTATTACTATTATTATTTTATTATTCTGAGAGAATGTGTGGTAAAGAAATACCACTTAGCTTTGGAGTTATAAAGACAGGAGTTAGAATCTGATACTGAATGAATGCATGATCTCTGTAAGCAACTTGACTGTCTCTGAAGTGTAGTTTCCTCACCGAAATGGGAATAAATTGCAAAAACAAGAAAAGAGACAATTGGGGATTCTGAACACTAACTATTAAACTATTGGTGTTAGCATCGTATTTCATGATGTTAAAGAATCATTAGCTGCCCTAGCTGGTTTGGCTCAGTGGATAGATCATCGACCCACAGACTGAAGGGTCCTGGGTTCAATTCTGGTCCAGGGCATGTACCTCAATTGCAGGCTTGATCCCCTGGGCTGCATGTGGGAGGCAACCAATTAACATGACTCTCTCACATCAATGTTTCTCTATCTCTCCCCCTCCCTGCCACTTTCTCTAAAAATCAATAGAAAAATATCCTCGGGTGAGGATTAATAACAGCAACAACAACAAATATATATATTTGAAAAAAATAATCCATGCTGGGGGTGGGGTAAGGGGAATGGGTGAAAGTAGAGATGAAGGAAAATTTAGCTATGCTTTTTGTACTAGTTGAAGCTGATGAAGATAGGTCAAGGGGTTCACTATGCCAGTGGTCGGCAAACCCATTAGTCGACAGAGCCAAATATCAATAGTACAACGATTGAAATTTCTTTTGAGAGCCAAATTTTTTAAACTATATAGGTAGGTACATTGTTATTAACTTAATTAGGGTACTCCTAAGGCTTAGGAAGAGCCACACTCAAGGGGCCAAAGAGCCGTATGTGGCTCTCGAGCCGCAGTTTGCCGACCACGGCACTATGCTATTCTTAATATTTTTGTGTTTGAAACTGTTCAAAGCCAGGGCTAATACCTTAAAGACCTGTTACGGAGTTCACTTGCATAGTAAAATATTAGTAAGAACGTAGAGATTAAAGTTGTAGCCTCCATTTGCACTTCCACTCTAACAGCTTCTAACCCAATTTTCAAATTTAATTGCAGATGAAGCTAATAGTACCCTGTTATAGGGGATTTTCTGTATCAAAATTTTCACAGGCAAAACACCACTGACATTGATTCTTTACCCTGTATTCGCTGTTGGAGCTTTGCATTCAGTTGCTTTACCTCACCAGGAGTCATCAAATTCACTGAAACATGAAAATATATTCATTATTACCACAACAATTTGGGAAAATAAGCTGCCTACATCACTAACACAACATCCTATTTTTTAAAAATTTGTACTTATCTGCCAACGTAACGTTCAGCAGTATCCTAGGATTCATTCATTAACTCCTGCAGTGTGGAGTTTTCGAATCGTAACCTCAACCCACAGGAAGAAACAAATCTTATA